GAATTGATGCATTAGTGTTGGAGGAGAATATTGAAAGCACCGTGGACTGCCAAAAGAACAGGTCTGTGTTGGAAGAAGTACAACTCGTTGGAAGCCAGAATGGTCAGACGTCTCATCTTTCATACTTTGGACATATTTTCAGGAGGGACCAGTCACTGGAGAAGGACATCATGTTTGGTAAAATGGAGGGTCAGAGAAAAGGAGGAAGACGTCTAATGAGATGGATTGGCACAGTGGCAGCAGCAATGCATTAAGGAGTGGCAATGATTGTGAGGTTGGTGCAGAACCAGACAGTGCTTCATTCTGTTGTGTATAGAGTCACTATGAGTTGGTACCAACTCAATGGCACCTAACAACAACAACAAAAAATTCCTAGAAGACTTGTTAAAACACATATCTGTAAGTCTACTCTTCGAGTTTCTAAGTCAGTAGGTCTAGGGTGCAGTTTGAGAAGCTGTATTTTTAACAAATTTCCAAGGAATTTCCCAAGGGTTAGCAGTTGGACCCACTCAACAGGTTCAATGGACAAAGACCTGCTGAGCTGCTTCCATAAAGATTACAGTCAAGTAAACTCTTTGAGACAGTTTTACTCTGTTACATGAGGTTACCATGAATCAAACTGAGTCAATGGCACTCAAGAAAAATAGCTCAATCAAATCTAATTCTGCTGATCCTAGGAACACATTTTGAGAACCATTGCCTTAAGCCATTCTCTCCAAATTCTCAATACCTATATATACCTTAACCAAAACCAAAACAGAAATTCATTGTTGATGAGTAGATTTCTATTTACAGCTGGCAAACCCATGTCCTATGGAATAGAACTGCACCATACATAGCTCTGTATGCTGAGCAAATAATACGAGAAGCTGGGTTCTATGAAGAAAAACGTGGCATCAGGATTGGAGGAAGACTCATTAACAACCTGCGATATGCAGATGATACAACCTTGATCGCTGAAAGTGAAGAGGACTTGAAATATTTACTTATGAAGATTAAAGAGCACAGCCTTCGATATGGATTGCATCTCAATGTCAAGAAAACAAAAATCCTCACCACTGGACCAATAAACAACATTCTTATCAATGGAGAAAGGATTGAAGTTGTCAAGGACTTCATTCTTCTTGGATCAACTATCAACACTCGCGGAAGTAGCAGTCAAGAGATCAGACGACGTATTGCACTGGGCAAATCTGCTGCACAGGAACTTTTTAAAGTATTGAAGAGCAGAGATGTCAGCTTGAGGACTAGGGTGCGCCTGACCCAGGCCATTGTGTTTTCAATAGCCTCATATGGATGCGAAAGCTGGACAGTGAATAAAGAGGATCGTAGAAGAATTGATGCCTTTGAGTTGTGGTGTTGGAGGAGAATACTGAGGGTGCCATGGACTGCCAAAAGAACCAATAGATCTGTTTTGGAAGAAGTGCAGCCAGAGTGCTCCTTGGAGGCCAGGATGGCTAAGCTTCGTCTCTCCTACTTTGGACATGTAGTCCGGAGGAAACAATCGTTGGAGAAGGATGTCATGCTGGGTAGGGTGGAGGGTCAGAGAAAAAGAGGAAGACCTCCAACGAGATGGATCGGCCAGGTGGCATCATTGATGGACTCGGGGGTGGCAGCGGTGGTGAGGTTGGCCCAGGATCGAACATTGTTTCGTTCTGCTGTGCATGGAGTCGCTATGAGTCGGTTCCGACTCGATGGCACCTGACAACAACAACAACAACAATACATAGCTCTTGCTTGAAATCTTGGTGTGGTACTGTACGATAAGCACTGGATTGCTAACTTCAAGGTTGGTTCTCCCCCCATTCCCTATTCCTCTGAAACCCTATACTATTAGTTGGAACAGATTCCACAGTGCTTAACAACAATATAGACCTTTCTTAGTTGTAATCTTTAGAGAACCAGACTTTCTACTTTGGTGGGTTCAAACCGACCATCTTTGGGTTAATAACTCAAAAAAGTAAATTCTGCAATGCAGTCCATAGCATGTATGATTCAAACAATCGAAAGCCTTTCAAAAGTAAGCCAGACACCTTTAAGTGTACCTTGGAGTGAAACAAGTAATTTTTACTATGAGTCAAAATGTTGGAAGCCCTGTGTAAAATTGCAGTTATTGTTTTTATGTTACGTTGAGTCCGTTCCAAATCATAGCGACCCTGCAAACGGTTTCAAAGGAGCAGCTGGTGAATTTGAGACAGCAACCTTTTAGTCTATTGCTTATCCTACAGCAATACACTAGAACTTCAAGAAAGAACCATTACATATTATCTGGATGACTAGAAGAGCTTCATGAACAGTTCTGCCTCTTGACAACCAGAATGGGTCTGAGGAAGGGGAATACAGCCCAAGCAGAAATAATCTGGCTCTCTGAAAATCCCTTTCACAAAAAGAGTTTCTTTAATTACCCGCACCCCCACAAAAAGGAACTGCAGGTAATCATCATTATTAATTCTCAGTCTTAAAACTGATCTTGGGGAAGCCATAGAATCATAAGTACCTGGAGGAGATTATGGAGGTTCCCCCCCCAAAAAAAAAAAATAAAATAAAATAAAGCCCTTAAACCAGGAGTTCATCTGTCAACAAGCAGAGCAGAATGTGCTGCCACTGAAACTGCCCTGCCCACCCAGTCCAAGCATTCTTGGAGAAATCCCGGGAATTAGCGTCCGAGCTTCATCCTCAAAGATAAAAGGGAACTCGGTGTTCATTTATTATCTGTACGCACTGGGGCCCCGCCAAGTCCCCCAGACACGTAAATCATCGTCAGCCCGCCCTCCATCCCTGGGCTTTTGGGACACGGCGGGCGGCACCAGTCCATTGGTCTGCGGACGAAGAGGTGAACGGCTCCGCCAATCCTTTCCTGGAAAGAGACCGGACTGGGCGCTTGGTGCGAGGGGTTCGGCGTGGGAATGAAGTGAGTCCCACTGCGGAGTCTTTGCGGGGAAGGGAGGTGGAAGGAGGGCAGGGTGGAGAGACGCACGGAAGCAGTGACTCGTGTCAGCAAAAGACAGTGAGCAAAAAAAAAAAAAAAATCAGTAAGCCAAGACCGTTACTGTGGGCACACGGAGATATGTCCAAAAAAAAACACAATTTGAGGGAAAAAAAATCCATGGATGGGTGGGACAAAATGGAGTGATAGAAATAGTCCTATTTAAATGACAACTTTGAGAAGTAAAGCACACTATTTAGGAAGAAGAGAAATGAGAACAAACTTCCATGTTGTCTTTTGTTTCTCTGACAACGACAGTCATACATGAACATTCTTGTTTACGTGGGCAAGGGTTATTGTCCTCTGAAGTTTTGGAGGAGCCTCCGAGTCCCTTTGAAAACTACTTTCCTTGAGCCTAAAGCCAAAGCAAAAAGAAACAATTATATATATATATATAATTTTTTTTTTTTTAAACTAAGCCACTTGCTCACTTTGGGAGCAAAGAATTTTTCCTCACTCTGATATGGATACAGTTATGCATTTTCTGTGACAATTTTTGGTCTTTGCCAACTTTAGAAGAAGATTCAGCAAAGAAGAGCTCAGGTATTGTCAAATTCCTATCTGTTTTACTCTATGTGTGAATCCACAGATCTGTATGTTCTTTTATGATTTTGATTCTCTTTTGATTAACCCTTGATGGGATACACCCAGAACTTCTATTTTCTAACTAAACAAAAATACCACTTTCCTGCTACTATTGCTTTCTTTGTTTATTTAATAAGTGAGGATGTTGTTTCCAGTCATACAAAGTTTTCTTAAAATTATTGTGACTAAAAATTATTGTTACAATGGTCAATGGCTGTGTGATGGATCCTTCATTAAATTTTAATTTGAAGTAAATATTCTAGTAATAATTTTACTCATTTTATATCCATCTCAAAATGCATGCATCTGTGTTATTTCTAGTGTAGCTTATAGCTAAAATGACCATTGCTGGTAGAATCTATAAGAAAAAATTCTTTCCAGATTGCATTAAGATGAATAAATCATGGGCATTCATCTGAGAAAATATACAGTAAAAATTTTATTGCCACCCATGAATGTTTTGAATTTTAGAGGGGAATCAGATTTGATCCCTGGGTTTGTCCCACATGTGGGCAACAGATAGCATTTTTCTGACGAGCTGTGCATGTTTCTTTCCTGGTTTGCTCTCCCATCCTGGTGGGAGACTTGAAGAGGAACAGCAGGGATTGAGGGAAGAGGCAGAGCAAGAAGTGACAGCATCATGCCTGCAAGGAGCCAGCATGGCTTCTGCGGCCAAGACTCAAGCCCTCACAGTGGGTCAGTTATTGTTGCTTGTGGTCATTATTTGGCAGTGAAGTATCCAATGTGTCTTTTTTGGTAAACTCTTAATGACACATTAGAAATAGATTTATTCAGTCTTATATAAAATGCTTTTGAACAGTGTGTAATAAAATGGGATGCACATTATACATTAAATGAGAAAAAGGTATTATAAAATTAATTATCATAGGCAAATCATATATACACTTAAAAGGCTGGAAGGAATACAGTAAAATGTTAATGATTTATTCTGTGCTGTGGGATTAGTTTTTCCTTTTTTATTTTTATATGCAGTTTCTAAATTTTCTACAATGTGCATGTATTATTTTTATGTATAACTTTTTTCAAAAGTTAATCTAAAGGAACTAATGCAAGAACAAGAAACTAACCCATATGTGTTTCAATTGTCATAATATCTTCATTATGATCGCCAGCCTCCCTTTTTAATGAATCCCTAAGTAATAATGCTTGTAGCTTTTCATTGGGAAGTGAGAAGCTATAGGGAAATTTTTATAACCGTCAATAGTCCACTTGATCACAAAACTCAAAGTGAGGCCAGCACACACTATAGTTTCGTTAAAAGTAAATTTTACCACAAAAGGTGTGAATGAAATTGGCCACTTATAGCCCCTAAGGTAAGTTTCCAGATGCCCAGAGTTGATGTATTTGGTGGCATGGGCCCTATGCTTAACTTGTAATTTGTAATTTAAAGATGTGATGTTGTTTCAGGATGAAGGTGAAAAGCATAGGAGCACGCTGGATGGTCTCCTTAGCTACCATTTGCCTGATGGCCATCCCTGGCAGCCAGGCCTGTCCTCGCCGCTGCACCTGTTATGTGCCTACAGAGGTACACTGCACATTCCGGTACCTGACCTCCATCCCAGATAGCATCCAGTCCAATGTGGAACGCATTAATTTAGGGTGCGTAGGACCCTTGTCTTGTACCTTCTCAAAAGGGGATTGATCACACTGGCGACTTGTCCCCAAAACACTTGTGGCTCTGTGAGAGTAACCAACATTGTTTTAACCATATTTCTCTTCTGAAATGAGTATCTTAAGCTTATGGGAACAATAAGAACATTTTTCTTGCTAAACCTGTGTAGCAGAAAGATCTTCTAGAACCTGAAGGCACTTTTAGAAGGCTGGCAGACCAATACCTGTAAAATAACTTCATTTCAGTTATTTTTGAAGCAAAAATAATATAGCCCCTGATAACAATCAGAGTTCAGATATATAACTGCAAGTGTCCTCTGGTATGTACAAGATATGACTGAGAATTCTGCTAAGTGTGTGGTGGTACATACTAAGTAGATGGTGCTACTTTCATATCCTCTATAATATCTATCAAAAGGTAGTTATATTTTAAAGGCTTATACAAATACATATATGTGTGAACGTATATGTAGTCTAATTTGACATGATTTCTTTGACAATTATTGAGCACCTACTATGTACCACAAGGTCGTCAGTTTGTTGACAGTCCCACTAGCTGCTCCATGGGAGAAAGATGGGGCTTTCTGCTCCCGAGAAGATATACAGCCTCTGAAACCCTCTAGAGGGTCTCTGTGAGTCAGAACTGATTCGACAACACTTAACAACAAAAACTACGTGTCAAGCCAAAATGGCTGGCACTGGATACACATCAGTGAACCAGATAACATCATCCACTTCTCAAAGCTACAATTAAAAGGAGACAAATATACAATCAAGGCAATTTAATAAAAACTGAAATATAGCATACAAAATGCCTTGAGAACAGTCCCTAGCAACAATGTTTTTGTTTTTAAGTGCTGTTGAGTTGTTTTAACTCATAGTGACCATGTAAAGGGTTTTCAAGGAATGGCTGGTAAATTTGAACTACCAGCCTTGCAGTTCAAACTGACCTTGAGATCAAGTGCTTATCCTACAGTGCCACACCAGGACTAGCATCAATAGCTAACATTAATTGTGTGCTTGTTATAGGCATAGAACTAAGCATTCAACATGTGTTCATTCATTTAATCCTCAAAGACCCTTTGGAATGGATTCTATTATTATCTGCATTCTATACTTGATGAAACCGAGGAGTAGAAAGGTACTGTTTTTACCAAGTGTTACACAACTCCTGGTGTGGTGCTAGAGAATAAGGACTGAACTGCTAACTACAAGGTCAACAGTTCAAATCTACCAGCTGTTCCTTGAAAATCCTGTACAGGGTTGCTATGAGTTGGAATGGACTCGACAGCACTTACCAACTTAACTAAACAACTCAACTAAAAGGTGTCTGAGTCCATAATCCTATCAATCTATTTAGCTGCAGAATCCAGGTTTTTTTTACTGGTGCTTTATAATGATGAATTCTACCTTGGAGAAGGAGGAAAAAGAAAACTACATAAATGAGTGGTGTGAATGTAAATGATGGTCACAAATGGATATGAGATCAAGTCATTCCAACCTGAAGAAAGAGTATGTGAAGATAAGTCAAAAAGTATTGCTATTATGGTTCCAGTTCACACATGCACAGGTATATTCCAAACAAAATGTATTTAAACATGACTCTGTACTCAGCAGATGGTTGCACACAGTTCTCTCAGTAATAAAATTGCCTTAGTCTTCTTAGAGTGCCTTCAAAGAAAGGATTCTTTTTGACTATGGAAAAGAAATGATTTTGAGGTCAGGACTAATAACAAATTTTTAGCAAAACTCAAGTGGATATCTTTCCAAATCATTGAAACTTTCCAACGAGTTTACCAGAAGCAATTAAGGGAAGTCAGGAAGACCTTAAAGATGAGTAAGGCATAGAGGTCAATTTAGTAGATTATGGAAATTACTTTTGGGGACTCCAAAGGAGTAATCTTGATAAATTTTCTCAAAAGACACAGGACAATCACAGGGAAGTTTTAAGAATATGGAAAACTACATGGGTGGGGAAAAAGGCCAGGAAAGCTACACCAAGAAGTTTATTTTCATCATAACAACATACTTGCTCATTTTTGGAAGACAGCAAAGGTTGTCGTATGAGAATTTCATTGGAAAACCTTATCTCATCCACCCAACAACTCTGCTCTTGCCCCTAAGACTCCTTTTTGTACCCCAAACTGAAGAAATTGTCAAAGGAACATAATTTAAATCCTTCTAGGTTTCCAAAACTGCCGTTTTGAAGTGGTATGCAGATTCTTCAGGGAAGGGTTAGAGATGGAAACACCACCTTCAAAAGTATAAAGATCTAGATGGAGACTATGCCAAGAAGGAGTAACTTTGCTTTTTAATATTTTTGTTTAATAAAGATTGCTGCTGTTTTGTAGCATTACTTTTTGACTGGTAGTGTAGTGGTTATGAATCGGGCTGCGAACCTCAAGGTCAGCAGTTCGAAACTACTGGCTGTTCTATGGGGGAAAGATGAGGCTTTCAGCTCCTGTAAAGATTTACAGCCTTGGAAACCCTATGCAGGGTCACTATGAGTCAGAACCGACTCCACAGCACATAACAACAACAACAAGAGTATAAATAAAGACATAAAAATGAGAAGGAAAGTGGAACATTGCAGGAATGTGAATGGGGTGATTTTAGTAGAGGCTGCAAGAACTTGGTAGAAGGTTGACTTTCTGTGGCATCTGATGAATTTCAATAACATTTCACACATATTGTTATAAAGTGCTGTTGAGTCAGTTCCAACTCATAATGACCCTGTATAGGGTTTCTGAGGAGCAGTTAGCAGTCTAGTGCTTATCCTAGAGCACCAGAACCCTATTTCACACATAGAGCACAAGTAAAATATTTGCTTGTGTGCATTGACATTTGAATTTTAATTGACAGACTAAATTTATGCTTGACATTTTTATTTCAGGTACAATAGCTTGGTCAGATTGACAGAAACAGACTTTTCTGGGCTGAACAAATTGGAGTTACTAATGTTGCACAGCAACGGCATTCACACTATTCCTGATAAGACCTTCTCAGATCTACAGGCCTTGCAGGTGAGACCCGAGGGAGAGAAAGGTTTACAGAGTCGGAATGGGACCTGTGTGAGATGTACCTCCCAAAGCTTCCCATATCTATGGGATCTAAAATCACTCAGATAATTAGAAGTAAATATTAAGGGAAGACAAAGAGCAGATTCTTTTTTTAAAGCAGTGATGTGTGGACATTAGAATAATAGGAAAATCCTGAGGAACATCTTCTTTTCATAGCTCCAGCTAATAGAGGAGTCCTGGTGAGGCACTGTGGGTTAATGCGCTGGACTGCGAAGTCATTTGAACCACAAGGTCGGTGGTTCAAGATCACCAGTCGTTACTCAGCAATCCTATATGGGGTTGCTATGGGTTGGAACCGACTCAATGGCACGTAACAACAACAATAAACCAGCTAATAGAAAAAAATCCAATTTCCATGGATTACTAAGCTTTTAGAAAATGTGATATTTTTAAAAGCAACATCTAGTTATGTTCACCTGAGAATCAGTTGTGCTTCCCAAAATAAAGTAATTTCTTGCACAAATTTAGTTTTTAATGAATCAATATTTTTTACATTTTCAATTCATTTATGATCTATTTCCTATCTTGTTCAAAATTAATAAATGTTTAAGTAAAAGTTATGGATAATTATAAGAATGCATGGAATTTTGCAAGAATTCTCACACAAGCAAGTGAGAAAGAAGTGTAGCAATAAGAAAAATGCATATATAGATAGCTTTATGTCTGTGTTGGGTAGGACTTAAAATTTTCAAGAAACAAATTTAAAGGAGTCAGTTACACAATTCTTCTACCACTCATTTATCAGTTTGTCATACTACGGTTGCTTGTGTCCACTGTGATGCTAAAAGTTATATAAACCATCAGTATTTCCAAAGCAAGCTGGGTCACCCATGATAGACAATTTTCAGCATGCCTTCCAGACTAAGACAGTCTAAGAAGAAGGACCAGACAATTAGTCAGAGAAAACTTCATGAATAGCAATGGAACAATGTCTAATATAGTGCCCCTCAGGTCAGAAGATAATCAAAGTATGAATAGGGAAGAGCTGACCCCTCTAGTTAGAGTTGGCCTTAATGACATGAATGGAGTAAATCTTTCAGGACCTTCATTTGTTGATGAGGCATGATTCAAAATGATAAGAAACAGATGCAAATATTAATTAGCAATTGGAACATGGAATGTGCAAAGTATGAATCATAGAAATTTCAAAGTTGTCCAAATGAAATAGAACGCTTAAAAATCTATATTCTAAGCATTAGTGAACTGAAATTAACTAGATTTGGACATTTTAAATTGGACAGTCATATTGTCTGCAATGCATGTAGTATTGTCTAAAAGAATATTTCATGGTCTAACCTGAAGTACAATGCTGTCAGTGACAGGATAATGTCTATAGGACTATAAAGAAGACCAGTTCATTGACTATGCAAGGTCACTATGGGTTGGAATTGACTCTACAGCACTTAACAATAACAACAACAACAACAACTAATGCCAAAGATAAAGAAATTGAAGATTTTTTCCAACTTCCATTGTCTGAACTTAATCAAACATGTCTCAAGATACATTGAAAATTACTGGTGATTGGAATGCAAAAATGGCAAACAAAGATCAGTAGTTGGGAGATATGCCTTCATTGACCAAAAAAAAAAAAAAAAAAAAAATACAGTGTTGGAAATTGCGGGATAGAATTTTACAAGATCAAGAAATTGTTCATTGGAAATACTATTTTTCAGCCACATAAATAACAGCTCTGCATGTGAACCTTAACATTTGTCATACAGAGGGATTAAATAGAGTGTTGAAAGTGATAACAGAAAACTAAATTTAATATTCAGAAAAAGGCCAGGGCATATTGCAGAACAGGTCATCAGTTGCTCTTATAGAAGCTCACAGTGCAACTGAAGAAAATGAAAACAAATTCATAATAGAAAAAGTATGACCTTGACTATATCCCTAGCAACCATCTCAAAAACAGATTTGATGTATTGAATATGACTGAATATCAGAGGAGTTGTGGGATAACACCAAGGACATCATACATGAGGAGAGTAAATGATTATTTAAAAGACAGGAAAGAGAGAGATTGATCCAAGATAGTAACTTAGTCAGATACACCAAAGTGCCTCCCTACAACAAATCAAGAAATCAAGTAAAATGGGAACCCTGAGCATCAAACAGAAGATGATGAAGCAGACCAATACCAAGTGGAAAAAGAGATGGAATGAGAACACCAAATAAGATTTATGAATCCAAACTTTATTTGACAGTTTTTCTTACATGTTGCTGTGATGCTGAAAGTTATGCCATCCATATTTTAAATACCAGTTGGATCACTCATGGAAGTATGATGTTGTAGGATAAGCAAAGACTCAAGAGACTGGGCCTCAGAGCAAGTTTGAACCACAAGGTCACTGATTCGGCCCCACCAGCTGATCCTCGGAATCCCTCCTATACAGGGTTGCTGTGAATCAGAACCGACTCAATGGCACTTAGCAACAACAATAGGATCACTCATGGTGGACAGCTTCAGCTGAGCTTCCAGACTAAGACAGAATAGGAAGAAGGAGAGGCGAACTACTTCTGAAGGTTTAGCCACTGAAAAACTTATGAATAGCTGTGGAACATTGTCTGATATTGCCAGAAGATGAAAACATTATGAATAGCACCAGAATATTGCCATGTATAGTGCTGGAAGATGAGTCCCTCGGGTTGACAGCACTCAAAATATGACGGGGAAAGAGCTGCCTCCTCAAAGCAGAATTGACTGTGATGACTGACACAAATGGAGTAAAGCTTTCAGGACTATCATTTGCTGATGGGGCTCAACTCAAAATGAGGCAAAACAACTGTAAACATCCATTAATAATCAGAACATGAAATAGACGCAGTATGAATCTTGAAAAATTGAAAGTTGTCAAAAATAAAATGGAATGCATATCTTAGGCGTTTGTGAGTTGAAATGGAGTGGTATTCACCATTTTGAATCTGACAACCTTATGACTTACTGTGTAGTAAGTGAGAAATTGAAGAGAAATCAAAAAGAACATTTCAAGGTCTATCTTGAAGTAGAACATGGTCTGTGATTGGATAATATTCATACACGTACAAGGAAGGCCAGTCAATATCACTATTATTTAAATTTACACACCAACCACTAAAACCAGTGATGAGGAAATTGAAGAATTCTACCAACTTTTTTCATCTGAAATTGATCCAACATGCAACAATGATATATTGATAAGTACTGGCGATTGGAATGCCAAGGATGGAAATGAAGAGGAAGGAATTTGAAAGTTGGAAACAAAATAAAGGATAAGTAGTTGGAAAATATGGCTTTGGTGATAGAAATTATGCTAGAGATCATATGTTAGAATTTTGCAAGATCAGTGGTTTATCCATTGTAAATACCATTTTTAAGCAACATAAAGAGCGACTATAAATGTGGACCTCACCAGATGGAATACACCAGAACCAAATTGATTACATCTATGGGAAGAGATGATGAAGAAGCTCTATATCATCAGCCAAAACAAGGGTTCCAAAACAACTGTGGAGCAGACCATCAATTGCTCACGATCAAGTTCAGGCTACAGATGAAGAAAATGAAAGCAAGTCCACAGGGGCCAAAATATGACCTTGAACATATCGCACTTGAATTTAGAGATAATCTGAAGAACAGATTTGATGCAGTAAACACTACTGACCAAAGACCAGAAGAACTCTGAGATTATATCAAGAATTTCATACAGAAAGAAAGCAAAAGGGCATTCAAAAGTCAGGAAAGAAAAAAAAGACCAAAATGGATGTCAGAAGAAACTCTGAAACTTGTTCTCCACCTTAGACATGCTAAAGGAACTAGAAGAAATGGAAAAGTAAAAGAGGTGAACAGAAAATTTCAAAGGGTGGTTTGTGAAGACAAAATCAAATATGATAATAAAATGTGCAAAGACTTGGAGTTAGAAAACTAAAAGGGAAGAACATGCTCAGCATTTCTCAAGATGAAGGAACTGAAGAAAAATTTCTAGCCTTGACTTGCAATATTGCAGGATTGTATGGGCAAAATATTGAATGATGAAGAAAGCATCAAACAAATATGGATGGTATATACAGGATTACTGTATCAAAAAGAAATGGTAAATGTTCAACTATTTCAAGATGTAGCATATGATCTAGAACCAATGGTAGTGAAAGAAGAAGTTTAAACTGTATTGAAGATATTGGTGAAAAGTAAGGCTCCAGGAATTGACATAATACAAACTGAAATCTTGCAACAAATCTTACAACAAATGTATGCATTGGAAGCACTCATCTATGCCAAGAAATTTGGAAGTGAGATAACTTGCCAACTGATTGGAAGAGATCTATATTTGTGCCATTGCAAAGAAAAACAACCCAATGCAATGTGGAAATCATTGAACAACGTCATCGACATCACATGCAAGTAAAATTTTTGCTGAAGATAATTAAAAAATAGCTACAACAGCACATCGACAGGGAACTGCCAGTAACTCAAGCCAGATTCAGAAGAGGATGTGGAACTAGGGATATTATTGCTGGCATCATATGGATCTTGGCTGGAAGTAGAGAATATCAGCAAGATATCTAATTGTGCTTTATTGACTATGCAAAGGCTTTGGACAAGTATAGATCATGGCAAGCCATGGATAGCTTTGCAAAGAATGATTATTCTAGAACACTAGATTATGCTCATGAGGAACCTGTATATAAACCTAGAATCAGTCATTAGAACAGACCAGAGGATAGTGAATGATTTAAAATCAGAAAACATGTGCACCAGGTTTGTATTCTTTTCCCCTATTTATTTCATCTATCTGTTGAGTAAATAATATGAAAAGCAATATAATGATTGGAGGAAGACTCATTAACTTGATGATGCAACGTTGAGTTCTGAAAGTGAAAAGGACGACAGCTTTCAGTATGGATTGCATCTCAATGTAAAGAAAACAAAAATTCTCACAGCTGAACTAACAAATAACATC